TACAAAATTATAATTTAAATATTTATGTTCCATTCCTATTCATATTAATATTTTAGCGAAATACACAACATCGAACTTGCTTTATTTGCGGTATAACAAAAACGTCACATTGGTACCGTGATTCAATGTTTGAAAACGATTTGTGTTATAAATGTTATCTTAAACAATATAGGACAAGGACGAAAACAACTAAAAATTTTAAGGATAATGAATAGAATAAATATATTTATGATGACTGGAGGGATTAAACTAAACCAAAGCATAAATTAACGCTCATGCAATCGATAAAAACTATATTTTTAAAAAAGAGTATTTCTCATAGAATTTTCTCAACACGTTTATAAATTTAATTTCATTCGACAACACGTGTCATTGTAGCAATTTTAAATTTAATTCAATATGTAAATAATAATCTTGGGATAATAAGAATCTTGGGATTTCTTTAGTAACTCCTTCCTGCTAACACAATGTATTACATAATTGTTAAGCTTATTATAGTGATAATTTTCGATTGTATTTCCTCTTTTATTCATTATTTATACAAAACGTTTCTTCATTTCGCTATTTTTTAAATAAATAAACCTTTTTAAATAAAAAATATAAAATAAGTTAATACACATCTTTCTTTATAACCATAAAGAAGTTACATTATAAAATCTTTCATTTTTCTATATAGCTCATTAAGACGATAATGTGGGAGATTTAAAAATGGTTATAACTTTTTGCAGTCAATTTTGATTTCGTTGATTTTGTATAATTCAACTCAATGAAATTAACTTCCAAAAAATGCTGAAGATCCAAACTGAAAAGATAGGACATAATTTTATTTTTTCATTCTTTTAAGATATTTAAATATTGAATGAAATAAACTAAAAATCAATGGGAAGTTTTGTAACTTAATTAATAAAGCTGACGATATCCTTCAAATCTCCGATATCCTTTTGAATCTCTTAATCCCGGATATAATCTTTAATCCACACTACCGATGATTTGTGTTAGAATTAAGAATTAACATCACTCTGACGAAACTATCGGACGCAAATCCGATAGTTTTTTCCCCATTTGAAATATCCAAGGATCATGACGGATATTGTGGATATTCGGGGTAATCGACTATTTGTATAACTTATGAAGATTAAGTGGGTAAAATGAATCTCGTGAGATACACTAATATCTCTTTATTTACCGATATCCCTCTTAATCCACAAATCCCTTGATATCCCTCCTGATCTCACAAATCCACAATACAGTCTTAATACAGCTAAATCTTCGATACACACTCAGTCCTTCAATATCACCCTTAATTCCTTAGAATCCATTATCCCTAGTTGAAATCCACTTATATCCCACTTGATCCTTCGATATCAAATGCAAGTCCACTGATTTTACATTTAATACATCCAAATCCACCGTTATCCCATTTAATCAATCTTAATCTTATTAAACTATTAGGTCTATTTCGATATTTATCGAAAAAATATCGACAGACCTCATCGGCCGATCTCTACCAAAAAATAACTTTGCGCGAAATCTTTTTTATTGCTAATTATGTAGTAACTTTAAAATTAGTTCAAGAGGCATATGAGATTTTTGATTGACTTTTGACAAGCTTCCTGGAATAGTTACAATGGGATAAATTGTAACCTCCTCTGTAAAATTATTATATCGTAGTACCTAAAATTAAAGCATAAATTTATCTACATATGATCATTAATTTAATCTATATTTTTTCGATTTTCTATTGTCGATGGCTTTTACTTAAATTTTCGATTTCGAATTTTTGATGATATTTACGATTATCAAAATTTTTCAAAAATCTCAATCCTTGTCGTAAAATCAAAAGATCGGTTTGTATCTAAGCTTAGAGATAAAAGCGTCCAATATATCCCGCTTTTTTTTTAATTTTTATGGTAATATATGCAGGTTACCAAAAAATAAATTTTTGATTTAAAATAAAAAGTATGAAAAAACAGTATGCGGTGCTTTAAATATTTTTTCATTACTAGTGAAATTTAATTAATAAAAATAAAATACCCGTTTTTCAAATCCAGGTGAAAAATTTCCTATAATTTTATTGTTGGCAATTTCAATCATGATTTTTATTTTCAATAAATGATTTGGATCATGTTTTGCAACATTTAATTCAACATTATTAAAAATATTTGTATTGAGATCCATGTAAACCAAACGTGTAAATCCCTCCATATTGTAATCAGAGCCGAAATATGCATTGTTATGCTTTTAGATTGTTTTCACAACAAAACGCTCATTCAGTTCAACATCTTTTAAATAAATATATTCTCTTTTTTCTTCCCAGTCACACTTGATTTTTAACGAAACACGAATTTTTACTACGCATTGAATATTCAATAAAATAATTGAATATAAGAGAATGATCAAATTAAATTTATTCATCTGAAATTTTGTTCAATAAGCCACACACAATTTGAATTAAAAAATCGTAAGAGCTTTAGTGTACTTCTGTTAAACCAATATTGTGATTTTAAAGATTTAAAATTTATGTAGGAAGTTTGCGTAAGGGTGTTGGAAGGGTGTTTTGGGGGAAGTGTGTACATTAAAATAATTTTCCAGTCCAAATTTCTCAAAAGTCAAGAAAAGGATTATTATTTTCATCTTCTTTCAGCGCCGCAGGCAAAAATTTTAAAAATTATAGATGTATTCTAATCGGATTTTTTTCATTTTTGTCATAAGACACGCCTATGTTATTTGGAAATACTGCCGTGTAATGTCAAATTTTTAACAAATTAAAATTATTTTAAATTTTTGAAATTTCTTTAATGTTAATCAGAAGTAATTAAAGTACTTATAAACAACTTCAATGAAAATTTTTAAATAACTTCGACTGAAGACGCTTTTTTTGCAAAAAAAGCAATAAGTTGATCTTGGTACCAAAAAATAATTATAACAGAATATTTAAACACAGAAACTAAGGGAATTATTTTTAAATTTTTTGTTTTATAAATTAAATAGCATTTATGATTTTATTTAGCTATTTTTCCCCCTAATTATTGACTTGTTAAAGTACTATTTCATCTAAAACATATTATAGTACGTATTATTCTTCTTGAAAAAGTTTAGCGGTCTTCTACATTTCTTTTTTTGTTGTAAAAAGTACATTTTTCCTTTAGACATATCCGGGAAAGAATTACGATATTTATTAAAATATTTTTCGAATCCTCAACATTTTAATTCACTCGAGCTCAACTTATTAGGTCGAGTTCGATTTCGAGTAATCGAGTAATTTTTATAAAACATATTTTAAAATAATTTCAATAAAGACAATACTTTTACTAAAAACTATTTATTACCAGTGCTGTGTAGTGGGCATTTGTTGGCAGTAAGCGCTAGATTATCATCCAAATCCGAGTTATTTCCGTTAATCCGTCTATATCCCTCTTAATCCGCCTAAATTTTGTGATATGACAAGATTCATATTTACTCCAGACACCAACCTTATTGACAGCAACTTTAGTCTATTTCATCAACTTTTATTGTATTTCTATTATGTGATAAACACGCTATTGTATTGCGTCGTAATTGTTGTACAAAAATACAACTGCACTTTCTTTAATATAGAGAAATATATGTATCTTTTCTCATAGATTTCACCTTCTTATGGAATGTGCAATAAACAAAAATTATTTTTCTACGAAATTTAAATTTTAAAATAAATATTTTTATCATAGTGATGTAATAAATTAAATAATAATGATGTAATAAAGTTATACAGATTGCTCGATAACTTCCTAAATTAAATATATACGGCTGGCTGATTAACATTCAACTTCTAATTTGGTAAAGAGGAATGACTGTTTGACTGATACAATCAAATTTTGACAATCTTCTTCATTTTTAAAGTTTCTAAATTTTACATATATAGAAATTCAAATGCTTTTTTATTTGCCAAATTCAAAATTTTCAGTCATAATTGAATTTGGCCAACTTAATTTATTTTTAAATTGGGTTTTTATTTTGAAATATGAGTCTGGGAAAAATTTTTTTCACAATTTAAATTTTATAAGCTAGTTAAAAATTTAAAGATTCATCGAATTAAAATTTTCAAAGACTGATGTAAATTTTTAAAAAATATTTTCTATTATTTAAGTAAATTAAAGACCACGTGAACAACACATCTTTCAAATCTTTCAAATTATTTTCTAAGAAAATATTAATTATTATTAATTTTCTAATTTTCTTCAATATTTTAAAAGTTGTTAATTTAGCTGGGGAAAATGATTTTTTGTTGGAATTCCTCAAAATTGTAAATATTTTATTATTTTAACTAGTAGAGGCGTTCGGGATCTTGGTCTTGAATCTTGATTCCATGACTTTTCTTTTGTTCCGCTCTGTGCTTAAGATGATATCTTGGAATAAGTGGAAAAATTATAGTAGGAAAAATCAACCAAAAATTTGCAATATAGGAATTTAAACAGCTATAAATTTTTGATGTATGATCCAGTACAAATGAATATTATATCATTCGAAAGCTCTCGATAAGCTCTATCTTTTACCCAACGGTATAGATTAGGTCTGACAACTCATAAAAAAATATATCCCGATAATAGTGAAAAACAACGATTTATTGCACTTATCGACATGAAACATTTTATGAGTGATCAGACCTAATTCATACCGTTGGGTAAAAGATAGAGCTTATCGAAAGATTTCGAATGATATAAGTTTCATCTGTGTTGGATCAAGCATCAGAAAGTTATAGCTTTTTAAAGTCGGCTAATACTCAGTCTGCGGCCGATTAACGGAAAACTACTTTTGATCATTAAGGTAATTTGACCTCATGGGTTCTGGGTCATTTGATCTCCAGGGTCCGACCTTCTGGTTTGAACCTAAAATGGGTATCTTTTGTTAAGTTTCGACTTTCTTTAAATATTATTCGTTTGTAAAAAAACTTTTTTCCAGACACTAAGCACAACTGGGAAACATTCAACAATTTGTTTTACCCGAAAAATTTGAAGAAACGAATGGCTTCTTCAACTGAGACTGACGAAAATACTGTACAATTAATTGAAGAGGGATATAAAAAACTTAAGAATAACAATTTTAATTCTCTTTTAAAAAAATATTTTACTGAAAATTTAAAAGAAAGATTAAAATATAAAAAGACAAAACTTGGGGCAACTTTATTTGATGTTATTCGTTCTGGTAAAAAGTGGGGCAGGAGGGAAGGAATATTGGTCATACTAATTCTAGGAATTAAATTGGTTGACTTTTAGACACGAGAGATGTCCCTGGTTGAGAAAAAAATCGGGTCGGGTTTCGGGTCTAAAAAAGTCCGGGTTTTGTGCATCGGGTTTTTGGGTAACCGTTGACATCTTTGGCTGATACTAAATTTGAGGATTCGAAAAACCGGATATCCAAAAATTTTCGGCTCCTATATTTGATCCGGAAACTAAAATATTTTCCAGGATCCTAGCCTTAGCTATCGTTGAAAATATTTTACAGAATTTTTTAAAAATAAACTAGGCTGAATTTTGCCTAATTTTATCGAAGCGTATACAGATTCGTTTAAATGTTTTATTAATCATTTAGGTGTTGCTAATCCAGATTCTGGTATTGGTGTTTACGCACCTGATCAAGAATCATATCGTAAATTTGCCGAGTTGTTCAATCCGATTATTGACGATTATCATGAGGGTTTTGGACCAGAAGCAGTACATCCACCGACAGATTTTGGAGAAAACAACATTTCAGGTAATTAACTACATTATGTCATTTAGGTAACTTCATCGCATAGTGGCTATCTAATTAAAATGCCACCCAAAAATAAAAAAAAATTATCTGATATCAGTAGGGGGTTAGGACGTAAAATTAAAATTTACAGTTTTAGTGAATTGTCCGATCGGTGAATTGTCCATTTGGGTTAATTAACATACAATAAATTGTCCATTCGGTGAATTATCTTTCGGCTAATCAGTAAATTATACATTATGTGAGTTGTCTATTCCGTGAATTATCCTTCGGTTCGTTCGGTGAATTGTCTATACGGTTAATTGTCAATATTGTAAAATAATCCAATTTAAAAAACTATTTAGAATTCAAAGATTTGGATCCAGAAGGCAAATATTTAATTTCTACTCGAATTAGATGTGCTCGAACATTAGAAGAATATCCATTTAATCCATTAATGTCATTAAATGATTATATTTCAATAGAAACAAAAATGAAAAAAATTTTTAAAAAATTAAAAAAAATCAAACAATTAAAAGGAATATATTATTCACTGAATAAATTAAATAAAAAAACAAAAAATAAATTAATTAAAAAACATTTTTTATTTAAGGGGACAGATTTTTAAATGAAGCCAAAGCTACAAATTATTGGCCTGTTGGAAGGAGAATTTATTTGAATTTTAAAAAAACTTTTTTGGTTTGGGTAAATGAAGAAGACCATTTACGCTTAATTTCTATGGAAAAAGGTGGAAATGTTGGAAAAGTTTTTAAAAGATTAATTTTGGGAGTTAAAATTATTGAAGAAAAGGTAGGCGAACATTTGAAGGGCTTTGGGGGAGGGGGGGGGGGCAAGTTTCAACTATGTATTTGTTAAATGAAGTGAGAAATAGGATAAATTTAAAAGCATTTTTCTGCCCCAAGTGGCATTTTTAGCAAAAAGTACCTCATTTTTAGTCATTTTTAAGGAAAAGTAGTACCTTGCTAGAAAATTCATAACGCTCAAATAAACGGTCAAAAATTTTTATTTTTTGGTAAACCATAGACAACATTCCAATTTATATTTTGGCAAACAAGTAAAATTTTTATCTCCATTTTTAAAAAAAAGTTATAAATTTTTTCCCAAATAGGGGGAATGAGTAGCGGGTAGCGACGCCAAACCCTTTGCCTATTCAATGCTGATATGTGCCCGGTTGTTCACTTTAGTACAAAAAATCTGTCTGAATAGACAGTTCTACTCAACCTGATGTATATACGCACAAGCGATACGTGCAATTTCTTTCTAACATGTAGAACAAGGTACTTATCTTAACAGTATAGACGCATAAAAACGTGATTCGACGTATATAGATCTGTTGGTCGGATAAACTTGACAAGACCCATATATTTTATACTTATTTCAAACTCCATTCCTCTCCCCCTCCCTCTCAACATTTACTCTTGCAACTTTTCTCTTATGATAAAGATAACTTTTTCGCGTGATGAACGTCTTGGTTGGTTAACCTTTTGCCCTTCCAATTTAGGAACAACAATACGTGCTTCTGTACATATTAAATTACCAAAAATTAGTTTGAAAGAAAATTTTAAAAAAATTTGTGAAGAATTAAAATTACAAATTAGAGGAATTAATGGAGAACATACAGAAACCGAAGAAGAAAACAATGTTTTTGATATTTCTAATAAAAAACGTTTAGGAATTAATGAATTTGAGGCTGTTAAACAAATGCATGAGGGTGTTAAGAAATTAATTGAATTGGAAAAAGGAGAAGAAGAAGAAGAAAATGAAAATAATTAAAAAGATTTTAAGTGGAGCTGGGTAATATTGAACCTGACAGACCACATTTTTCCTCTCCAAGTTTTTTCTATATATCTAAAGAATGGTCAGAATGATCGGAATCAAAAATTATTAATTATTATTCCCCATTGGATGGAAGCAAGGAATTTAGAAGAAAGAAGTCTGACAATCTGCAAATATATGTAGGAAGAAACTTGGGGGAAAAATGGGGTTTGTCTGGTTGTGAGATAATATGCGGATACCGTTTTTATGTTTATAAATAGATTTCTAAATAAATTTCTAAAAAATTAAAGAAATGTTATTTTAGGTAAAAAGAAAATCTAGTTGGGCTAAGGCATTTAAACGCTTACTATTGAAAGCATATTCTTAAGGATTTGCAGTAGGTGGTGTGTTTTAATTACTAACAAACCAATCCGGTCTACTGAAGATGCTGCTTCGCTCCCAGCCGCCGAATAACCTTTTGCACTAGCTAAAGAAGAGAAATAGGTATAGCTCGCGCTTTACTCTAAATAAAGTTTTCAAGATTTATTAAAAAAGGTGATTTTAAATGTTATACTTTTACATGGTTAAATTACATATTTTTCACGTTTTCGCTAATATAAAAATACATCGATCCGATGATTAACTCTTTTCCTATTCTTGTAAATAGTTCTTTATAATAAAACTACATCTATATAAAATTAGAGATCGGACCGATACGATTTTTTATCGATATTTATCGATATTTTTCGATATTTTTTTTCGATATTTATCGAAAAAATATCGACCGAGAAAATTTTGACTTTTTCGATATTTTTCGGTATTCGATATTTTTTCGATATTTATCGAAAAATATCGACCGACAAAATTTAAAAATCGAAACAATCGACCGACCAAATTACAAAAAATCGAAAAAAATATCGAACGTCATTTTCGACAAAAATTTAAATTTTTGGCTCAAAAAAGGATGATTTTTGCTTCTTGCCCATCGGAAATTCAAAAAATTTTCGCCTGCGGCGCAAGAAAAGGAGAAAGGTTTCTTCTATATTCATATTTAGTTTGCCAAAGCGAGATGAGAGTGAGATAACACTGATATGGTACATAACACTGATATGAATTAAGAAAGATTTCGGTAGATTAAGGGAGATTTCAGTGGGTTAAGAGTAACCTGATGGGATATCCGAAGATTTGGTGGGATATTTGAGATATCCAAGGATCATGACGGATGTTGTGGATATCCGGGATAATGACTATTTTATAACTAATAGAGGATTAATTGGATAAAATGGATCTCAAGGGATCAAGTCGGAGCTTTGGGAGAGATAAATATCAAAACGTATATCAAATGCCAAGATTTTTTATCCTCTGATATCACTTTATCCCCCGATATCCCTCTTAATTCACAAATACCTTGATATTCCTCCTGATCTCACAAATCCAAAATATCACTCTAAATCGCTCGATACACATTTAATCCTTCAATAACCCCCTTAATTCCTTAAAATCCAATATCTCTAGTTAAAATCCACTTATATCCCAGTTGATCATTCGATATCAAACCCGTGATATTCCATTTAATCCGTCCAAGTCCACCAATATCCCATTTAATCTATCTTAATCTCCTTAAACTATTTGGCTATTCTTTTATTTATTGATTATAAAAATTTTTTGAAAAATCGAAAAATATCGAGACTTTTTTTTCGATGTTTTTCGGTTTCGATATTTTTCGATATTTATCGAAAAAATATCGACCGAGAAAATTTTTATTTTTTCGATATTTTTCGATATTCGATATTTTTCGATATTTATCGAAAAAATATCGACCGACCTCTTCGGCCGATCTCTATATAAAATGCTTCTTTTTCAATTTTAATCATAAATAAATATAGGAGTTTAGCAAAAGTTCAGTAACCGTGCAGGATTTGAACTTGCGACTTCCTCGTAATTATGTATTGCTAGGCGCCTTTGCTCACAACAAAAAAATTTGATTTCTAATTCACTCCCTACATCGTGATTTTGAGATCCAAAATCAACGGAAAATGGGGTGATTTGGGGGTGATCTGATTTTAATAAATATTGCGGTCCATCTGTCCCGGATAAAATTCTTCTTTCATTTTCAGATTAAAGCTTTACCCGAATATAAACCCAATTATAAACCCAGATTAACCCGATTAACCCCGAGTTTAACCCGATTATAAACCCAGAAGTCGATGATTACTTGCAGCTGCGGTAATGATTACCCGCAGATGCGGTAATTTTAAGTTCTCTAGCAAATTTTATCATCAAGATAAAACCGTATTGGGAAACAGGCTGATTTTGGGGTCGAAAATTCAAATATGCAAATGTCTTTTTATAAGAATGCACAAATTCCTTGATATCCCCCTAGATTCTTAATAATTCCCTGTTATATCAATTAATCCACCAACTTCATATAACTCTTAATCCCCTGATCCACTTATATGTCTCAATTCTCACAAATTCCCAGATATACTTCTTACCCCACATTCCTCGATATCTCGATATCACTCTTAAACCCTGAATTTGGAGAAAAGGAAAACTATTGCATGCAATATCAATTTTTCCTATTTTCTTTCTGTGCTTAAAATTTGTTTTTAAAAAGTGAGGTCATAAATAAATTTGAAAAACCTGTTGCTTAATTTGAAAAAATAGGTTGAAAAATAGAGCCCCCCGTCTGAATTAGAGCCCCCTCCTTAATATAGCCCCCCTTTTCGGGATAGTTGAAAATTAGAGCCCCATGGAGCTCTAATACAGTAAATACGGTATTTTATAAAATTATAAGCACGGTCTTTTGGCATATTGAAGGCGTCTTCCCGTTCCAATTGATGAGTGATAGACTCTAGCGAGAAATTAACCTCCGGAGAAATTAACCTACGAGTGATTAGATGCGATTAAGAGAATCATAAACTAAATAAAATAATGAAAATAAATAGATTTATTTAACAGTTATATTGGTAACAATTAAAGAATTTTGTTTTTAAATGAAATTACATATGCTATATTTTATATAGTTTTAGAATTTGTTCAATGAACTCAGAAAATTAAAGTTAGAAAATAATAATCTTTTAAATACTATTTATTCGATTCCTGTTCTGTTTGATTTTTATTTGTTTTCTTATTTAATCTTTGTCGTTTCTTGTAACAGGTATTACATATATATTTTTCCGGCTCTGAATGACGGTACCACATTGATGTTTTTGATTCTCCGCAAGTAAAACATTTTCGATCATTTGTGATTCGCTAAAATAGTTATAAAAATAGGAGTTGAAGCTGATTCTCAGAGAACTGATATTGTCTAAGTTTGCTTCACTGCAACCTTAGGATTTTTTCGCATGCTATTTCTCTAAAAATTTGATGTATAATTTCGAAAAGTTTTATCTCGAAAAAAAACTTTGAGAAAAAAATTTCACCTTAGCCAAATCGTTAAACAAAGTCTTAACTTTGTTATAAAACCAAATTTATTGATTTTTAATATGTTTAAAAAAAGTTACATATGATTTTATAAGTAAATTTAAAAAATGAAAAATAAAGGAAAAATTGTTTTGAATAAATTTATTTTAATTTAAAATGACATTATATGTTAATTAGAAAAGATATTATTAGGATTTCCTTATATATAATTCATTTTCACTGAAAGGGTTCGAACCTCTTGCATTTTCGCTGTCACTAACCAACCAAACCATACTCCCGCACTGAAAGTCAGGTTGCACCCTCTGCCTGTTTTATGTTGCTGTGTGCTTCTAACTAATTTCATTTTTTATGTTTAAATTTACCACAAAGGCAAAAGTAATGTTCTCTTAGATTTTTAGAAAAGATTAAAATCCATAAACATAAATAAGATCCCTAATAATGTTATTTAAATATGCGCGAATTATAAAAGAATAAATATAGAACATTATAGTTCATATAAACTTACTTCAGGTCGCATTTTGCCACTAATTATTTTATACTTGTTACAAGTATTGCACAAATAATGTCCTTTTAGGTATCTATACCATGTTATGGTATTTGTAATTTTACAATTAAAACAGTTTCGTTTATTTCCTTCAATTATTCCTCCTATAATATTAAAAAATATAATATATGTATATTTTTAGGCATACAGTGTGGAAATTTAAATAGGGAAAAATATAAAAAATAAAAAAACGATTTACTTATTTTATTTCCAATCTCAATAATTCTGCTTTTTAATTCTCCTTTCGGATTTTCTAATTTTTTATTTCCTAACAATTCAATTTTATATCCAATTAAATTAATTTCCGTCCAATAAGTTGATGAAAGTTTGTCTTTATAAGATTCAATATTTTCTTCAACTAAGCTAAGTTTAGTGTTATTTTTTAAATTATTATCTAATATTGATGTTTCAAAACGATTATCATTTATTTCAATAAAATTATTTTTTCGAAGTATCTTAAATTTATGATCAATTGTGAATAGATATGAACCTTTTGGGATCGGATTTTTAGGTTTTAAAAACATTGGCCTCATTATGTTTTGTATAAGCTGAAATTATTTTTACTCTTGTACAATAAGGTTGCCTCTTCGGAAATCACTTGGATTTCCGGTATATCTTTAAAACCATTCCACTTAATTTTTCGATATCTTCCCAAACCCTCGTGATATACATCTTTCTTTATTGTATACACAAATCCCATGACGGCCAAGTCAAGCAAAAGAAAGGACTGCTGAGAGACTTAGTTGTAATGCGGATTCATGTATGTAAATGCGATTTATAGGTGTTTGAGAGGGGTAGTGAGTCACCAAATTCCATTTTAACGTAATAAAACAGTTGATCTCTATAATTCCTCAAATACACTCATGTCGCGACTCGGCGATTTGTCATTAATCGCCGAGCCGCGATTATTTGGCGCGCTCTTTTGACTAGTCAAAGCAAGCGTTGTCTTCGCTTGCTAGTCCAAAGATGAACGGCCGTTGAGCCGTGTTTACATCCGCTTTTCACTGCTACACTCACCTTTTTCTCATAATGTACAAGAACTTGGCGATCTTATCTATGGAAAGAAGGATGGGCCTTATATGAACATTAACAATAATATTTTCCCAACGATTTTTATTATTCACTTCACACTCATTCTTGTTCTTACTCTCAACATTGAAATAAATTTTTATTTTGTTAAATAAATTTTTTGGATTTAATTATAAAGTTTATAGTTAGATATACTAAAGAATAACCGGCGTCCCCCCCCTGGGAAGCCCCGGATATCCTTTCGGTTTTGGGGGCCTAGTCAAAACCGTGCGTAACAGCCTCTAGTCGTCTAGCCCGTTGT